AGATCGGTACTAAAACTGAGTGGTAAAATCTTTCTGCCATTCAGTAAATCCGTAGACATGTATATGTTGATGTATCACATTATTTCATTGGTCAAGTTTTTTTTTTCTGTTTTTCTGCACTTATCTTTTTTAAGAATAATATGTAATATGAAGCGTTCTAAATATGTAATAGGAAGCGTTCTAAATCTTTCAGTGGAAATTAATGTAAGCACCTGTTTTAAATTCCCAAACTTTACCAAGGATGTCACTTCTAACGCGGATGCAAGATAACCTGATAACAGTAAAGAAGATGCAAGATAACCTGATAACAGTAAGCAAGATGCAAGATAACCTGATAACAGTAAGCAATAGCCATTATTTTTTTGTAGAATGCTCATCAGGGCTGAAACGCATTGCTCTTTCAATAAACATGAAGCCATAGCCAAAGTTTTGGTCTTAAATAAGTCATTTTAGATATACGTATCTATTAGCACTATATATAGATTTGCACTGATCGTTTGGTCATATTACCCGTACTGGCTTTCTGGAACACATGCTGGGTGGTTGGTAACAGTATATATAACCCCACCTTCATTATTTTGCAGGTAAACAAAATAAAGCTGCCGAGGCCTTGTCGAAGTACATTACGTTTTGCCATCATCGTGTAGAAATGGTTAAGTCACCTTTGGTTAAATTCTTGACCAAACAGGGTATCAGTTTTCGAGATAAACTGCATGAGCTTGTGTTTAATCAAGGTTTGTGGTGACGGCAGCCAGACCTAGATAATCCTGGTAAAATTCTTCGCTAGTTGATCTCCAGGTTCTCGGTACTTGTTGTCTTGACTTGATCGTTCATCCAGGAATATATCTAAATATCAAACAGTTAGAATCAAATACCTTTGGCCTGAATTATCAAAGGAGATATGTATTTATGAAAGTGTTTAACCTGCCTCGAGCATGAAGGAAACGTACGAGGTTCAGTACCGTTCTGCAGCATCCTGTCACAAACGAGACGCATGTAAGAATTTCTCTTGACCAAACGACGTATTTCTGTATTTTGGAAAAAAGATAATGAAACACTTCAGTGTGATAATCAATAACTTCTTGCGTTATTGAGAATGGTATTTTTTATTCCTCAGAATACGAAAGAGTCATTAGCTAATGATTTATTGTCTTTCCTGTACTCGAGTTCTTGTCAGATAATGGTTTTAACCTCATAAATGCAACGTAAAAGGATTATGATCTCAGGTTCAGTACCTGCCAAGCTCATCTGACAACATTCCACACAGGAGCAATGTTGCTGCTGAATATACCAGCCAGATAAATGGTTAATGCCACTTGTGAAGACAGGATTCCAGATGTGAATATTACGCTAAATTCTGCCCCTGACATTATAATGAGAGATACCCAACACCCCCACAACACCATGATGGGGAGATATCTCACCCCCCCCCTTGACAACGTGATGGGGATACCTCACACTCCCCTTGACACCATGATGGGGATACCTCACACCAATTTTGATAACATGATGAGAGATACCCCACACCCCCTTGACAACATGATGGGGATACCTCACACCCCCTTGACACCATGACGGGGATACCTCACACCCCCTTGACACCATGACGGGGATACCTCACACTTCCCTTGACACCATGAAGGGGATACCCCACACCAATTTTGATAACATGATGAGAGATACCACACACCCCCTTGACACCATGACGGGGATACCTCACGCCCCCCCTTGACACCATTATGGGGATACCACACCCTCCCTTGACACCATGACGGGGATACCTCACACCCCCCTTGACACCATGATGGGGATACCACACACCCCCTTGACACCATGATGGGGATACCACACACCCCCTTGACACCATGATGGGGGCCACTCCACACTTCACAGCACCAGCCTGGAACCCACACAGGGTCAAACACACCAAGAAATTAGAGAAAGTGCAAAGGTTTGAGACAAGGCTAGTCCCAGAGCTAAAGGGAATGTCCTACGAAGTAAGGCAAAGGGAAATCGGTCGGGCGACACTGGAGGACAGAAGATTAGGGAAGACATGATGACAACGTACAAAATACTGCGTGGAACAGACAAGGTGGACAGAGACAGGATGTTCCAGAGATGGGACACAAACAAGGGGTCACTCTTGGACGTTGAAGATTCAGATGAGTCAAAGGGATGTTAGGAAGTATTTCTTCAGTCACAGAGTAGTCAGGAAGTGGAATAGTCTAGCAAGTGATGTAGTGGAGGCAGGAAAGAGAGGACCTAGTGGCGTTCATCGAAGAGGCGGGGCCAGGAGCATAGTCTCGACCCCTGCAATCACAATTAGGTGAGTACTGTATGGGTATCATCACTGTCTACTGTACTAAGTCTTGCTTTCTCCTCCACTGCTAATGATTTCCTTGTGAAAGGCTTCGTAAGTGTCACCTCTTCTTTAAAGAGATTAAGAGAAAATTGTAAAATGAAACCAACCAAACCAACCAAAATGGGTACCAGGTTGTAATGTTAAGCAGTAATAAGGCACCAAGACTCACGAATCGTAATGACACGATTGCAAGCAAATCATACCACGGGCGGGGATAGAACCCGAGATCAGAGTCTCGACGGTCTGGAGTTTTGAGACTCGGATCGCGGGTTCTATCCTCGCCCGTGGTATGGTTTGATAAGGCACCAAGTTATGTTAAGCCGTAATAAGGCACCAGGTAGTAATGTTTAGCAGAAATAAGGCTTGTAATGGTGAGAAGCAATAAGGTACCAGGTTGTAATGTTAAGCAGTAATAATGTTCAAGGTTGTAATGTTAAGCAGTAATAAGGCACCAGGAAGTAATGTTAAGCTGTAATAAGGCACCAGGAAGTAATGTTAAGCAGTAATAAGTCACCAGGAAGTAATGTTAAGCAGTAATAAGGCACCAGGAAGTAATGTCAAGCTGTAATAAAGATCCATGTTCTGTTAAGCAGTAATAAGGTACCAGGTAGTAATGTTAAGCAGTAATAAGGCACCAGGAAGTAATGTCAAGCTGTAATAAAGATCCATGTTCTGTTAAGCAGTAATAAGGTACCAGGTAGTAATGTTTAGCAGTAATAATGTACAATGTTGTAATGTTAAGCAGCAATAAGGGACCATGTACTCTTAAGCAGTAATAAGGTACCAGGTAGTAATGTTAAACAATAATAAGGAACCAGGTTGTAATGTTAAGCAGCAATAAGGTACAAGGTTGTAATGTTACGTAGTAATAAGGTACCAGGTTGTAATGCTAAGGTATGAATCACTAGGTACATAATTCCACTGGTCCATATGGAGTTCTCGGAAAATTTTAAATGGAAAAGTTTGAAGTCAGAGAAGCAGCGAGAGGAACTATTGTGGAAGCAGATGTTGAACTAGAGGACTGAGTACTAAGCTTACCTAAATGGTTGACAGAAGCTTATGACAGTCTCTCTACGTTTTCTTCTCAAGAAATGCTAGAACCTGTTAATCTGTCTGACATTATGCATTTTATTCCAGAATAATATGCTTGCAACATAGTTCCTCTCTCTGATAGTCAGATTCGTATGTTGAGTATGCAAATTGTTTTCTAGCTTAGTTAGGCATCATTGCCTAAGCTGTGTATTTAAAAATCAGAGTAAATAACCATTGGTCAGTCAAGTGTTCGCACTTTATCGACTGTTTTATTGTCGGCATCTTGCAGGTTTATTTTTCATTTGTACAGATATTGGAAAGCTCATAGAGCAATGGAAAAGCCTGCATGGAAGTTTTTTTTTAATCAAGTCCTTATATGTACTGTATATATGTGGAACCGTCTGAAAATGCAGTTGCCTCAATATTTTACAGGAAAAAATGTGAGACTTGATAAGACCCTGAAGATGGAGTTCTCTGTACACCATCAGATGCGCCTCACCGACCAATGGGAGCTAGAAGAACTAAATTTATATTCTGATGCCATAACAGAGTCGAAATTCAGTGAGACAGCAAGCAAATGAAACTGTGTTATATGATGGCACGAGGGAGGTGGTCGAACTTATCAGTGCTAGCCCTTCATAGTGTAAACATATTTTTTACCATAGCCTCCCTCTGTCAGCTGATCGTCGTGGTATGTAGTCACCTGAATGTGATTAAAGGTGTCTGTTCTTAGCTCCTGACCCCACCTCTCAATGTGCCGATTGTCAGATTCGCTCCCTCAGCCTCATAGGACCTGTTATACCTACTCGGGAATGGGGTTTGCTTCCACTACTTTTATTGGTCAAGATCATTCCGCTTCTTGGCCATCCTGGGACTGAAGAAATACTTCCTAACATCCCTGTGGATCATCTATGTCTAACTTACACCTCTCAAAACGTCTATCCCTCTTTACTCTAAAAACTTCTTCGAGTATTTTGTACGTCTCAACAGCCTCTTCTGTCCTCCAGTGTCGTTAGAATCAGTTCAATTAACCTCGTCATAACTCATTCCCCATAGCTGTGGAACATGCCACATTCCATAATTCTGCATATTCTCCATTTTTTAGCAAGCGAAGTGTGCTCTCACTACAACAACTATATCTCTAGCATCACCACATGGTTCTCTGTCCCTTTTTCTCCCTCCCCTACATGGCTCAATTTTCTTGCTCTGGAATCATGCAGCTTCACTGACTGTACAGGCTATCTGACAATCTCAGAAAAAGACCTAGTTTTTGCGGTGGAATTTCAAGGATACGCATCAACGTACATAAAAGTGTGAGGACGAAACTTAAGAGTGAATCCTCTATTCCAGTTTGTAAAAAAAACATAGTTAAATACATAGGAAATTTAAGGTTATATTTAGAAAAGAAAATGTACAACATACATATTAAAATTATATATAGTTAGTTTCACATTAAGCACTTACAAATATAGACATTCAGCAGAGAAAATACTGCATAAAAGTATCTAAAGTAAATGTACCTTAGAAGGCAATAAACAAAAAAACAAATGCATTGACAGCAAGAATTGGCACTACTCCACCCACTGCAGGAGATGTCAGTACTCACGTCCTTGAGACCAAGGTTCTTGACTTGGCAGGGAAGGCGGGCACGGTGACCGAAGACAGCAGTGACATTGGTGGGCACGTTGCCGAAGACTGCTGAGCTGTGGCTGTTAGCCCGACCCCAGGTGATGCTGTGTTGGTGGCCACCTCGGTCGTAGCGCCCTGGAAAAGACAGACACCAGGGTCACTAGTCGCCTGGGATGATGTGTTCCAAGAGGAAAAGTGGTCAGAGTAGACTATCAGGAGAAAATGTTGTCATAGCACTCTAGGAAGGAAATTGTGGTGATTGTAAAGCCCTGAAAATTGAAATAAATATGGCTGAAGTGCAGAGATATAATTTTGATATTTGTAACATGCTCAAAAGATTATTTTTGGTGATTGCAGCACTGAGAGAATTAAATTCTGGTGGTATCTGGCCCTGAGAACGGATATCCGATGGTTTTAGCACTCTAGAAAGGATATTCTTAAGGTGGCAGACAGATGATCCGGTAAATCCCGTAGTGGCGCGCCCTGGATAGGAAAATCCTGTGGTCGTAGCGCACATAGCAGGGGATTCATTTGACGGTAGAGCTGTGGATAGGGAATCTTTTCTTGATGTTACTCTCTGAACAGGGAATTATTGTGGAGGAAGCGCTCTGGTATGGTTAAGTGTTGGCAAAACTCAAGGGAGAAAATGCTGGTGGCTATAGCACACTATAAAGGGAATTCTTTGGGCGATTTCGCTCTAGGGAGGGAATTCTTGTGGTAGTAGTGCTCTGGTGGTAGCACACTGGGGAGAAAATTGTGGTAGTGAAGTCTAGCAGTAGAGGCGCACTGGGAAGGGAAATCTAGTAGTAACAACGCTCTGGGAAGTAAAATCTAGTGGTGGCAGAGCTCTGGGAAGGAAAATCCAGTGGTAGCAGCGCTCTGGGAAGGAAAATCTATTGGTGCCAGCGCTCTGGTGACAGTGCCTTGTAAAGGAAAATTAAGTGATAGCAGCGCTATGGAAAGGAAAATCTATTGGTGCAGCGCTCTGGGAAGGAAAATCCAGTAGCGACAGCGCTCTGGGAAGGAAATTCTTGTTGTAGCAACACTCAGGGAAAAGAACTCTTGTAATGGGAATTCTTGTGGAGAGACGTCTAGCGGTCTAAGTGCTCTGGGAAGGAGGATATGGTCCTATTAGCACTTTGGGGACGAATTTACTTTGAGAGAAAAACGTGACTGGCGTAACAAACTGGGGAAAGCGACTCTTGGATTGATAGTCACTATACGCCAGACAAATGATAAAATCTTTACAAAACTTTGAAGGCGAAGCATTTATATATAGAATTACAGCATAATGTTATGTTCTTCTGTAACATTTGATGGCCATTAATCTCTCGGAAAGAAGAAAGAAAAGCGCTGGTTAATACAGTGAGATAAAAAGATACTGGAGAAAGACAATGAAGGTAAGATTGTCAGCGGAAGAGAAACACATTGTAAATAGACAGGAAAGGGAAGATTCACAAGGTAAACATCGCGGTGAGATATGAAAACAAAGACAAGCCACAGAACACACATTCATTATAACGTTCCGTTTCATTCACTAAATGGAGAGGAACGTTACGCCAATTAAAACTCTGCATTTCTCGTAAACTTGTCGGAAAAACTATGGCGGTAAACTCTAATCCAGACTGAGGGACTGACCACCTATTTCTCGAAGGTTAATAGACTGATCACATCTTTACCTCACCACTACTCCTGCTGCCTCCAATTTATTCTCCCCTCTCTCACAAAATCGTTATGACATGATTGCAAACAAACCATACTAATGGCGGGGATAGAACCCGCGATTGGAGAGCCATAAAACTCCAGACCGACGCGCTAGCCACTGAGCCAGTGGCTAGCTGGACGAATCTTATTGTAGCCAGCTTGCCCAGTGGCTAGGGCGTCGGTTGGAGTTTTATGACTCTCCGATCGTGGGTTCTATCCTCGCCCGTGGTATGGTTTATCCTCCTCTGTATTTGACTGAAGAAGCCTACCGTAGGTGATGTATACCTGTCGGTATATGTCACTTCTTACTGCAGAAAAAAGGATGTTTACATGAGGGAAATAATTAAATGACAGAGAATATATAGAATAAAAGAGAAGATGTCAACCAAATCGTGGAAAACATAACAGAGTAAATCATGGGTAAGGAGAGTATGAAAAAATTAATAAATTAATTTTATATGGAGGTATTACCAACAATTACTGTTAAATTGTACGTAATAAATTTAGCTTATTACAAGAGTGAAGAATATCATGATATTATTCATATTAAAAAGATCTGATGAGATGATTTGCTCTACTGGAATGACAGTGAATACGAACTAATATACACTGCTGAAATATATTGCAAAAGAATATATTTCAACATTGAGGATGAAAACCTCAAAAAATGGAATTCATTCACGGTCGTAACTTTTGTTGAAGCTGTGTATGGAGTTCACTTTCACACCATCTTTGGTCTCGCTCCAGTTAACCATCCTAATGCTCACGAAATATAGCATTTCCTATGTTCCTAACATCTCTATGTCCCCTCATAATTCTTAGCTTTTACCTATGTCTTCTAATCTCCCTCATTCCTGGTATAAAATCTTTCTCCATCTTATCAACTGTAATCTCTGAATATCTTATAACTATCTCTTATGTGTACAGTTTTTTCTTTAGTTTTAGTATTATCTGAATAACTACGTAAAATTACGACAAAATAGATATAGAATTAGAACCACAGAGGAGTCTAATGCTCTGATTATCCATGCGAGAGATTTTAACCACCCAATTGATTTTCAAAAAGTCGAGAAACTTGTATCATACAGGTCCATGGTTGTGAGGAATATAATCGAATTAAGTTTTATTAAAAACAGTATTGATTTGAATGTGAATATTAGTTCATGGTACTGTAAATTAGATTCATTTATAATCAATAGAATTTGTGAGGAAGTTAAGCTATGCCTGACATGTCACTCGTAAATTTAACTTGATATGTGACCTGACCTACTCTTAATGACCCTCTCAGTATCGAAGAATTTTCAGAAAAAAAATTTCTTATGAAATGATAAGAGAATCTCTTCCCAATGGTAATGGCAGCTGAAGTATGAAATTTGATGGAGAACGTAGGGGATTACGATCTCACGAAGTTAGCTGTCTTGGCAATATTTACGCATCGGCGATTTTGCCGACTTTGAACCCCATTCTCGGCCAATTCCATTGATTCAGTCGACCAAACTCATAGCTATTTCGCTAGAACCCCTTTTGCTCTATCGATTAAGTACAAGAAACCGCCTATTTACCGATTTCAACTACCCAATAAAGTGATCAGAAACTGGTAATTTGGCCATTTTCATAGACAATACAAAGCCAATTTCAAAATAGAGTCCAGAATTAACAATGCAAACATTCCAAGCACTAAAATAAAAAAAATCTGTGTATTAGTCACGTCTCCAGGCCTCTGTGACGAGCTGTTCACTCACGACGTTACTTTCTTTCCATAGTGTTTATGTTTATGAAGACAATGTTGCTGACTAGAGCTTGATAATAATTTTTATATTACCTTTAATGATGTTTATAAACATTCTCTCAGATATGGCTGATGTTCTCTATTAATTACGAAAAAAATATCAAAATATACATCCTCTAAAAGAGGGTTTATATGTTGACGCCGAAATGGCTAGTTGTGCTAGATTATTATGCACCCCATAGCCTATCTTTGCATGGATGACAGAGCATGAACATATGGATTCACAAATGGTTTAGGAATAAAGCCTGTAAAGGTTTAATAGTAGTACTTAAAGTTTATTCAGGTATTCACAAATACAGTTACATAGATTATAATACTTAGCAGCATATATGTAGAGAACCTGGGATAACGCAAAAATGTCAAAGTGACTTATTTAGATTGGGGTCCTTCATGGCCCTTCAGGGTCCTTCAGGGTCCTTCAGGTTATATATCAACAGTAGACTCGTATGTTGTAATCAAATTTTTAAAATTTACTTAAAATCTTACCTTGTTTTCGTTAATAAGATACCTTGACATATCACTTAGGCTATTTTACGATTTCAGTATTTCTCATTACGAAGACAATTTAGCACTTAGTGTTCATGATAGTGACCACATGTTTTGCATTTGGTCTGATCATCATTTGTGTGTTTACCAAATTACCAAACGTTCTTGTAAACAAGTCTATGCCTGTGATGAATGGTTTGAAAAACCGACAAGTTGAAGATTGAGACACTTATGCAGCATATGGGAATCTTTATTCAGGAAACGTTTCGCCACACAGTGGCTTCATCAGTCCAATACAAAGAGGAAGGCATAAGGAGAGGAGGAGCATGAGGTAATCAGTCCCTCAGCCTGGAGTCGATGTGTTCAGTCCATCAATCTTGTAGAATGTACAGCATAGGGCCGTAGACGTGGCTTATATACTGTAGTGAGGTGAGGTGAAGCAGGCGGAGGCGGGGTCATAGTGGTACCATCCACTAGTCGAAGTAGGTCTTGGTCCAAATGTTGAACAAGTGTTGAAGAATTCTTTGTAACAAGATCCCATGATGCTGCAGTGTCTGACAGTTGTGATGAATGGTTTGAAAAACCGACAAGTTGACAAGTTGACCCCGCCTCCGCCTGCTTCACCTCATCTCACTACAGTATATAAGCCACGTCTACGGCCCTATGCTGTACATTCTACAAGATCGATGGACTGAACACATCGACTCCAGGCTGAGGGACTGATTACCTCATGCTCCTCCTCTCCTTATGCCTTCCTCTTTGTATTGGACTGATGAAGCCACTGTGTGGCGAAACGTTTCCTGAATAAAGATTCCCATATGCTGCATAAGTGTCTCAATCTTCAAGTCTATGCCTGGCCACTACAACATCAGTCAGTCTGTTTACATTACAAGTTGCTCCATAAACATACTTAATCAACGTTCATTTATCATTAGTGGGTTAAAGATCTACTCAGGCTTCTAACTCCATTTCTATAACATTCAGTTTCATTAATTACTTGTCTCCTATTATTATTCCTAATGCTAGACAGACACATTCTAAAGCTATATTGTACACTTTTCTTCAGGGGACATTGGTAAATTATCAACTTTATTATGAAGGAGTAACTCAATCTGTGATAGAATCCAAGAAAATTGTATGTTAATAAAATTTGCTT